TTATGTAATAATTCATTGTTCGTTTATATTTTTTGCTTGCGTTTCGTAGGTTTATTTTATTGTCATTATTTGGTGTCTGCCTATATTTTTCTTTAGCTTTATGATAATGGTTTCTTGCTTGGTGACATTTAGGCCCATACCATGCTTTATTTGTTGAATTATTGTAATTATTATGTGAACTATTTTTATAAGGAGATTTTTTAGGAAAGGTATTACTTGCGGCATTTGAGAACAGCAACCCTAATTCTTCTGTTATATATTCAACTGTGTTTTGTGATTGTGGATACGAGTTCAATTGGTCTTTAATTTCTTCGAGTTTATTTAAATCTATGTTACTGTTAAAATTAATCGAGTGTTTAGGGTCCCAATTAGGTCGCTGTGCAGCTTTGTTTGGCTCATTTTTGCCAAAATGTTTTATTTGTGAATTTATACACCAGTGTAAGGAATTATGGCCGTCAGAAAAAAGTGAGTCAGTTTCAATTACTACAAAGTCGGTTACTTTATCAAAGCACTCAGCAGTTGCTATTACATAATCTATTACAGACCTATCCCTAAAAGTACATTTTCCTACATTTCTATCTTTTCCCACCCTGGAATTAAGAATAAATATGTTGTTGTTTCTGCAAATATCTATCAGTCTGAAACCATGAGTATTAGTTCTGCTGTCACTAGAAATACGTGAAAGGGGAATTGAGAGATTCTCTAAAATAGTAAATTTATCTAGATGGGATTGAGATTCTACATCAATGTCAAAGATTTCATTGAGAAACGGGTCAGATGGAATGAAATCATTTAGCTGAGCTACTCGTGAGTTAAGATCGCCAGCTAGTTGAACGTATTTAAACTTACTACACATTGATGTTATTTCATTTTCAAATTCGGACCAATCATCTTCATTAAAAAATCTCGAATTTTCAGGAGGGAGATAAACGCATCCATGTATTAAGTTTTCACTTAAGCCGACAATTTCTTTTTTTTATTGAGACCCATAAGACGTATTCCGAGTTACTTTCTAATAAATCGACATAAGGAAAAAGATTATCTCGGATATAGATACCAATACCCCCCGATTTTCTTTTGTACTTTTTAGACCGATGTTTTGCTAGAAAAGAGTAACCATCAATATCTACAATATCATATAAATCAGTATTCGTTTCGGAAACAGAGAAAAAATCATAATTATTTATAAAGTCAACAAATTCTGGATAGTGTAACCGCCTTTTCAGACCGCAAACATTTAGTGCCGCAAAAAACAAACTGCCATCAGTTTCACTACATTAATAATATCTGTCATATTTTGCGGTTCGGATCGGAATATCCGTCCCGAGGTGACCCGCCCATTGGGCGGTAACGAGGCTTGCCGAGTTACCGCCCATGGGCGGGTGACCGAGGGACGGATATTCCGATCCGAACCGCAAACATATGTCAGATATTTTTTCTTGCATATTCTACTATATTCGATTATACTTTAAATTATTTGTCTTTATTTTCAATGAAAATTTATATCATTACAACCGTAACTACTTTCTTACTAAAGCGTGTGAATTACAACTTCATTCATAACGGTAAAAATTACGTCATCCTTACAATGCCATTGTACAGCACGCGACTCATCTGGAACCCCCCATGCCAGATGAAATTTCCGGCATGGGTAAAACTAACGGAAACGCCAGTCTGATATGCAAGAATGTACATTCCCCCTGCTGTACTAACGGGGATGGTTTGAGTCATTTGAGTCATTATTGTCGCTTGCCCACGGACGTTTGATTTCGGCCCCAGACGCCCCTTGTTGAGAATTCCTTCTGGGAGCTTGACTACGCTTGTCAGCGGAACGGCGGTGGAGATTTCGATTGCTGTCGACCGCCTCTATTAACAGTGCGGTTCGGAGACACGTTAATTTGCGACAACTGTTCGTGTTTCTCGTAGTATTTCTGTTTATTTTTGTCGTCTGTCCAGCATGAGTCACTCTTGCCAGCGGATTGATTTTTTTCGGTCAATGGAGGAGTGATTCGGTTGCCGCGCATATAATAGTCCCAATCTGGAAAAGCATTTATCACTACTTTACCATCCATAATAACCTTTGCCGGTAAACTAGGTTAATCTTTCTTTCAGGGAATTTTGATTTAAGGTCTTTAAATTTATTCCATATACTTTTCCTAGCATTTATTTTCTTGGGGAAAGTCTTCTGTTAATATTATAATTGGTATACTTCAGTTTGTGTGCGTTGGATATAATGGATACTGTGTCCGAATGATCTCTGAAAGCAACGATTATAGCTCTTCTACTACTTCTATCAAATTTACCGAGTCTATGTGCTCTTTCAATTTTAGGTGATGACGTTATTTCGAGCTTCGATCGAATAAAGTTTTGTATTATCACGGAACAATCTTCATTTTTTCTTTTCGTCGAATCCACCAAAAATCAAGTTGTTTCGCCTGCTGCGGGCTTCAATGTCAATGGATTTATATTCCAGTAATTTAAGCCTATTATCATGTGAAGTTGCACATTTTTCAAGGGAATCCATTTTACTATGTAAACGTAAACATTGGTCGACCTTATTTTCTATTGTGTACATAGTTGACTGATTTTCATGCACATGTGTATACAACACTGATAGCTTTTCATCCACGGATAAGTTACAAAATTCTGAGGGTGCTATATCATCTTAAATGTAACTGTCACTAAAATGTCGACAGTGTCTGGGATACAAGTTTTTGTTATTCGTACTTTTAAGGTACTCTGTCAAATTCATTTAATTGTTAACCTTTTCGTTAAAATGGGAAGTGTAAATTGTCAAACACTGTGATCTCTAGGAGTGATTAGTACAAGTCTATGGCACAAGTACAGAGCAAGGCCGGATTACATGTCGTATGATTGTACATGCAACAAGACTAGTCTGTTGACTGTGCAATATTATTTTGATAACTACTGGACAATGTCGAATTCATAGCAAGGCATTTTCATTAGAGAAATATCGCTTTGTAGGCGTCTAAGTTACATTTAATTGCTGTATAATTATGTCTTAATATACTCAAACGACTGTCTCGTCTAACATTTCAGCAGTCCATTAGACACATTTCAATTAAGACCAAGTATGGACATTACGATTTCTGCAAAATAATGAGCGTACATATTATATTAACAAGACTCCAAAGAGAAAAATGGAGTGATAATTCATTCAAGGCATGTAAATGCTCAGTAATTAGTTTGACGTCATTAGTAAAAACTTACATGATAAACATAAAATAATAAATTTTAAAAAAAGGTTGATTACCGGTCTCGCAATTTGTCTGCTTTTGGGCCATTAAATCGGAACACCTCGCCTAATATTCATAATAATCTCAGACTTAGTACGGACTGAATAAAAACTTCTACTAAAAAAAAACTTTCGGTTACTTCAACCTATAATGATAAGTATATAAAAAAATGTACTGTTTACTTTCATATCTAACTTCGTCAATAACTCCAAACATAATTACTATTTGTTAAGTTGCGACCAAAATAACGTATCAATTCTTACTATTGTGTCCGTTTGCCGGAAAGGGCCGAGTAGCTGCGATTGTTTGCCCATTTCACGAGTGTGTTCAAAACGAACCAATCAGAAGCTGCATTTTGAGACTGGTTTCCGAACTCAAGTGAACTGAATCACCGGAGTAATGTAAACTAAGTTGAACTTGTAATACAATGATGTATTTCATTGCTTGTGTTGCTGTAGAGGAACTTTTTTTGTAATCTTTCGTCATAAAACTTATTTTCAAAAGGTGCGCACAAATACCTACATATCAATCAGATCTATAACACAGCGTGAAATCTTCTGATGTTTTGTTACATTAAGTTTTAATTGACGCATTTACCGCGTTTTATCAACAGTTTTACAAAAAATGGCTGAATTTAAATGTCGTAATTTGCATACTATCTTGACATAAACAAGTAGAAGTTTAATTGAAGAAAGTTTGTGACAGCCTAGCTAAACATTTTACCTTTTTTCCCAGTTTATTGATTGGTTCGATAGGAAATGAGAAAACAACAAATGTACATGCATTTATAAAATCATTTTTATCAATAAATCACTCGACTAAAGGCCATGGAAATAATTCCTTTGTTACTGAGTGAATACCCCAAATATCAAGACCAAGTGAACCATATATCCTCAATGAAGGCTCTTATTCAAACCTTGATATCGATATGGAACGAGGTGGTCGTGCATACGTAAGTAAAATGTTAGATTTTTACAAAAAGGCACACATTTGATACATAAAAACGAATCGCATGCTTGACAGTAACTATAACTAGTTGATTTTACCATTTCTACCTGTACACCGCCTATCCTAAGCCAATCAAAATGGAGAATTTAATACCACATGATAAAAGGATGGACGACAAAACGCCTCAAAAGTGGGCGCCCACGGGTCACGCCATCCGCCATGTTTTTGTCGAGTTACCTACATATAGAATTGCAATACAATCTTCATGTTGGAAGCTCGAAACCAGTGTGTAGGCTCCTGCGGGGTAAATAATATTTTGAATATTTCCCTTAAGAGAAGGACATTAGCTCGAGATCTTTTTTTTTTCAGGAGAGTTTATTTCACGAAAAAATAATGTTTTTCGAATACCCGGCTGAACGGCGATTTCTTGCATGTTCGGAAATGCCAATACATGTACTTCTTAAGATATCAAGAATTCAGAATAGTCAACGAAATGCGGGAAAAAATCGAAAATCGTTAAATATTGTGTGTTTTACAACTCACACACCTAGATTTTAATAATTTTATTGCATGTTTATATTTTGTTGTGTGTGCGTGTGTGTTTGTTTTTGAATAATTCACTTCAGGCAGTTTATTCTCATTAGGCTAGGTCTAATTTGGATTACGGAAACCTTTCTCGCCTAAATTTATAAAAATAATGAACTTACCGAGGTTCAGAAGTCACCATTACTCGTTTGTATTACTATTCAAAATCACGTGACCCCGCGTGATTCTGTTTTGTAAATAAACACTGAGTACTGTTTGTATTATCTTTATTGCTTGAATTTGAAAGAATATTTATTACTTAGATATACCGGTATTGGCACAGCACCAATATTTAACTCCCTCTATTGCATTTTATTTGATTTTATGCCTTTACATTTCAGAAAAAAGCAATAAATCACTTTCAATCAAAGAAATTTGGGTACTTAATCAATCCATAGTGACATCACATTTATCTCTACTACGCAGACGATAAAAAGTATTAAGGATAAATAAAAACATGCAGATAAAAATATATTAATTTTGTAATTTCAATAGGAAGTAAATCAAGAAGAACAAGAAAACAAATATACATGTAGTTGATTGCAACAAAAATCAACAACATTTCAGTGTATGTTGTCTGAAAATAAGGCAAAACAAATAGTTTTTGTATAGTATTTACAGTCTTCTTATTTTCATTTTTTCTTTACGTTTCGACATTCTTTTTCATAGTTTGATACAAAAGAGAAAACGGAGTTTTCAAAAAAGCTTACAAGCTTCCTATACTCAATCCGTAAATTTTATTTTATGTACTTTATTATGTAAATGAATGGATTATAAATAAAATGTCGTTCAAACTAACTAAAAGAGAAAAAAGGCAGTCATTAGGCCTACTTCTTGGCAATTCAGACAAGAAGGGATTACAGGAATTTATATGTTAAATCAAAGTCTTTTCTTTTATATACAAGTTAATTCTGCAGTTAAACAAACTTTTATCAGCACAGTTAAATTTAGGTCTTGATCTTCTTAGTCGACTTTGGTCACATTTCCCTCCGCGACGTTCGTCTGAGACACACTTCCTGGTGTTGAGGTTAAGTGGCCGCCTGATTGTAGCGATGTGTTCGGCGCCGGCGGTTGTTTCGCTCGTGGAACGCCAACAAGAACTTTCGTTCCGAGCGGAATATCACCAGGTGCGTTGTTGGTAGGTTTGACGTCTGCATTATTAGTGACCTTTGTTTTGACAAATATAAAATATGATTACAGGTTTGTTTCTAATAAAGCAATATGTACAAATATTTAAAAAAAGCGCAAACATGCGTCAGTGTTGCAAGAATGACTTTATTACTATATATGAGACCAGTATATATATGAAATGTAACTCTTCTGTAAAAGAAGAGCTGCATACGATGGAATAATTGAATATAAAAGCTTTAAAAAAAGTTTGAAAACTCGATGACCAAGAAAAATCTAATAATCATAAAAAAAAGAGAAAGAAAGAAGAAAGAAAGAAAGAAAACATTATAATTATTACATATAGACGGTAGTCCCTTTTTTCACTTCTATGTTCTGTGTTGATACAAACAAAGTGATTATAAGTCACGAGCTTTCTATATACAGTACTTCCTCTGCACAACAACACCCTTTGACAGGCAAAGATTTCGAATAAATAAATAAATTTCGTTAAATCTTAATTTGGGATTATTCGATTCTGTTGTTTTGAGTTTACTGTCCTGCAGACGGCGCTTTCTGCAGCGGTTACAATGTTCGAACCATGTAAGTTGAGATAAGTTCGTAACAAAGGACCAACACTGTAAAAAGACTGTCCAACCAATATTTCATTGCAATAAAGCTGTGCATGTAATAAGGAACATATATTTCCATTTTGTTCTTACCCCACTTCCACTGCTCTTTACGCCACTCATTCGTGTCCCATCATCTTCAGCCACCCCAACTTTGTTGCCGCCCGGTTTTACCGACTTGCAGCACTTGTAAAGGCACTGGCATTGTTTCTTACAGCACGTGCACGCACAGACGGTAATGCAAATACCCGTGCACAAAAACACGACAAGGAAAGTGACACCAACTATGCCTGAAACTCCGAGTGCTAGAAACCCACCGAGTAATTTCTCCCAGACTGAAAAATATACACAATTATCAAAAACACGCTCAGACAAAGGGGGTTTATTGGCGACAACTCCAGGAACGCCAGTAACGAACGACACAAATATTCCGGTCCTCAACAGGCCGAGGTTGTCTATAGCTCAAACCCTGACCAAGTCATCTTGCTTTTGCACATGACGATTTGACGGAAAACTGCCATTCCTCGTTCAGTGATTAGAGAGAACTGAAAAGCGATTTTATGGGAAAGCAAATTTATTTTGGTACAAATAAGAATAAAAATCTACATGCATCTGGCCGTTGGAATATACCTGAAACTACAACACCTATTTCTCTCTAAAACCCGCAACTCATGTAAAACAATGGACGGAAAGAAAATAAACGCACATATTTATATTCTATGAATTTACCCGCTTAATATGCTTGTTGATGGAAATAAAAACAACTCAATCACCTAGCATAGACAGTCTGTGAAATATATCTCCTCCTTCAGACAAACTCGGGCAATTAAAGCAATTGCAAAAAACACAAAGTACGTTCTCTGAAATCGTTGTCGACTCGCTATTTCTCGTTTAATCATTCTGCATTCTGTCTCCTCCTCATGTGAAAATAGCGTGATATTTGAGAAATAATGATGTTTTTGTTTTTCATAAATAAACGTTAATTGTCTGGCGAAAACTTTATTCAAATATGGACCAACAAGTATTTAATGAACGCTGCCCGTTAAAGGAACTACTAAATGGCTTAAAAACTTTTAAACATACAATGTGAGTTAGTTTCTTACATAGATAAACGGAATTTTATGCTGTGTTTTTCTCTATCTTAAGATCTTTCAATTGTTCAAACGTGTTTGTAATGCCAATTAAAATGGTTTATATCGAAGATCGTGTAGAAACTGTACAAGATCGAGAAGTCTGCTGTCCCTATAACGAATTATGTACATGTAAAACTGTACAAGATCGAGAAATCTGCCGACCTTTAACGAATCATGTACATATAAAACTGTACAAGGTCCTATAATGAATTATGTACATGTAAATGTGTCAAATGAATGAATTTTTTTCCTTCTTATATAGTTTTCTTCTATTGTGAGTTAACATAAAGTGAGATATTTTCAAAATTAGGGTATGCGACAACTGACAATGATGAAATGCGCAGACGACATTTATTTATTTATTTACATAGGTAAATGAGGGCAGTCGGTACATTGTGATGCAAATATATACCGCAATACCAATGGTGTTGTCATGCGATAGGCTATATATACTGTTCAATTAACGAAATTATCGCGTGCTATTTTGAATCAGTTTTAGATTGGAAAAACGCAATGGCACTGAAAAGGCTGGTCTCTAGAATTTTGCAATTTATCTGGTAGCTTCAACACTGGAATAGAAATGAGCTACGTTCTTATTTCAAATAACATTTTGAGATTTTGCGGTTTGAAGAAATATTGATTTGTGTACATGGAGGCGGTTGCTATAAACTAAGCAATCTATGTTTGCAGATCTGTAGATATATGTTACAAAAAAGATGAAACTATTTTGCTACGAAAAAGGAGATATCTGCCTAGCCTGCATATATTCAGACGCAAAAACTTGGATCAATATGTCTAAAACAGGAAGCTTATGTCTTGTTTCCACCAATATGTCATCGTTAAAGAGTCAAGAAAATTCTTTTAAGCAGACGTCTGCACAATATTATGTGACATTGTTGTATAAATTTGACGGAAATAAAAAAAAAACATGCAAAAGTTTTCAAGTAAAAAGGCGTGTGCTGAACTTTCTTTTTTATATAAAAAGACGGGCAATATTTTGTTTATTCTTTAAAATGTGAAAATACAAGTTAAAATTATTCAATATGAGATTGTAATTCTTGATTTACATAAGTATTTCCTTTAAATGTTTTTTTGAGAAACAAAAATATTTAAGCATTTCTTGGGCATTATGGGCCTTTAAAAGTTCGGGTATTACTTACACGAGCAACCCTCCTCATCTGTGTGGTCGTCACATTGTGGAGTACCGTCACACTTGAGTCTTCCATCTATACAGCGGTTCTCGGCCTTGCAATGGAAGTAATCATCTGAACACGGATCTAGAGGGTTTTTAAAAAATCATATAGCTTTATACATGTCAAGACCAGGATATAGACAATGATGACATAACAAAATGTAATAGGAGGAGAATATTTTGCTATCTCATTTTATCAGGTATATGCTTTTTATTTCGAATCCTCCATACAACTAATAACACATGTATACGGATATTTTAAAGTGGATTGGTCTACGATGAGCACATTTTTCATAAGTATTTTCAAATATTTATAAAAACGATAGAAATGTATCATTTGGATATTCTTATGAAATATTTCTGGAAAACAAAATGGTGATAGAGTTATAAAGTGATTTAGTATGAACATATATTTGATGAATAATAATATTTTCTTCTAGAACACTTTATTATCTGCTATATATTTATATGTCGTTTTAAACATTTTAAAACATGTAGCCATCACTTAGCAACAACATAAATATATAATTATTTTGTGATTTGTTTTCACGTATGATATTGTGAACATGATTTCTATCAACATAATTATCTATTATATTATAGATTTTCTATTTAGAGACCGATTCACTTTAACAAAACTTACACAGAAAATTTCACGTATTCCATGATTAAAAAACACCGACATGCGCTGATCAGTTATATTCGGTGGCACAAAAGGGAAATGTGTGTGTGTGTGCGTGTGTGTATGTGTGTGTTTATTTACCTCGTGCGCACGAGATACTATGTCGTGGCCACGAGTTACTAAGTCATGGGCACGAGTAAGCTAAGTCGTGGGAACGAGATACCATGTCGTGGCCACGAGATAGTATCTCGTGCGCACGAGATAGTATCTCGTGCGCACCACTTAATCATTTCGTGGCCACGATATAGTATCTCGTGGCCACGATAATTATAGTATCTCGTGGCCACGACACAATTTCTCGTGGCCACGACATAGTATATCGTGCGCACGAGATAAATAAAAACTCACACATGTCACCTTAGTGCCACCGTAGTTATATGACTCTTACAGTTACAGAAATATATAATTTTCTGCGTTTGAACGCAGTGAATTAGAAGATAATTATTTCCCCCTGTTTCGTTGTAATTGTTTGCAATAGGTGGCGCTGTATAGCGCATGAGTTTCTCGGGTATAATGAACAACACGGTCATTCAGCGCTAGGACAGCCGACGATAATGAGTGAAGAAAATTCTAATTTTAATATCTAACTAATCGTAAGATATGAAGTTGCGCCAAGTTAATAAGATTTTTTTTATTATATATGTTTATGTTGTTAATGCTGTTGGAAATGAAGATGATAACGCTTATCTTTTGACGTTACATTTGTATTCTATAAATTTTTGTACTTTGTGTAAAAGTATTGTGAAACAGCCGGCATACAAAGTCGCTTACAACAAATTAAACAATTTGAAAAGTTTATGTTCATTTCTTTCATTTTGTCACTTTGCAAACAGTTTGCAATGATCTAGGGGGAGTAATGTTTTACATCCGTCATTTACTGTAGTTGCCATGGGTGCATAGTATTATATAAAATTACGTTAATAGAAATATGACACCTTTTTAATAGCTTTTTTTCCCTTTATATGCAACACTATTGCAGAAAATCAAATTATTTATTTTTATTTAACCCAAAATTTCCTGACTGGGAGCAAAATGACAAACCATAGAACAAAATCTATCGGAAAAGGGATAAATTATCTGAATAAACTTACACGGTAAAGTCCGTGTTGCAAGTATTCTAAATCCCTTCTTTCCAGTACCGCTGTCAGTTTTGAATTTCAAGGTCAAGTACTGTTGTGTGGGGTACTCGGTCATGTTATACTCAGTGTCCATGTACGGATCAATGTCACCACAAAATGGTCCGATAGGTGTCGCTTTACTAATGTTAGACATGCGTGCATCGTAGATGGTTAAAGAATCCGCGGTACAGTCTTCAGTACACTCGAGGTCAAACCATTTGAATTGTAGCTTATACCTAAGGGTTTGGGACATAAATAAACATACGGTTGAAGATCATGAATAAAATAATTTGATAGCACACAAAGTCGACACACTAGATTAACTCTAAGTTTTACGAAGTCTTTAAATTATTTAGAAAACAGAAGAATGAAATCTTTCTGCCACGAAATACGATTCTAGTCAAAACATCCAAATTGCCATTCCTAAATGGCTTGGTATATAATGGGCATATTTTCCATAAGTATTTCAAATATTGATACGCGAAGACGTAGTATCCTACCATTTTGAAAAAAACATTAAAAATGTGCAATCTTGATATTCTTGATATTCTTATAAAATACCTATTGGGGGAAATGGCAGTGGTCTCAGAGATTTAAAGACACAAAATGCCTCAGAAAACGAAGACATTTTTACATCTTTATAAAGGACAATCATGAATTTCATAATGTTTAAATAATTGTTTTAGAGAATGTTCAATACTTGTTACCTGATGAAAGTAGCGATAAATGTGAAATAATTGTCGTAAAAGTAACAAAATGTAAACAAAGTAGTATTTTGACTTCCATACAAAATACTTATTCACTAAAACTGTACTTATTGCCAAACAGTAACTGATGAAAAAGATGGTTCAGGTAATTGGCCAATGAATAACCTTTTTGATACTTTAAAAGTACACCAAAAGTAAACAGATTTTGAGAAATGAAAAAAAGCATTTCTGAGGAATAATGGGCCTTTAATATGAACATTTATATGATGTACGATAATAATATTTTGGTCTAGAACAGTTTATTGTTTGCTAAATTAAATAATTTATGGTAGTACATACCTTTTATTTTGGACCAAATGCACATATTTTCTTCTGTTTTAATATAAACATACTTCTTACAAATAAATTTACGCATGCCTTTGATAAAGGTACCTCACTTTCTACATACAGAGATCTATATCTAACTAACTAAATTTTCAAAACTCTAGGACTACTTGTATTTTGCACGTTAATTGACCATTACCATGTAATAGATATGAAATCAGAAAGAAAGGAATCTTATTTACCTTGCTCCACGTCGTTTCCCGGCGTTTAGTTGTACCATACAGCTTATGTCACTGCCGTAATGTAGAATGCCCAGTGAATTGAGATGCGAATTAATGTATGCACAATCGTCTTCAACGGACTTCCCACAAACCTGACCAAACGCAGACGGCCATCCGTCGTCCATATAATCTAGAAAAAAAAAACATACTCGTATACCTATTACATGTATATGTATGTATTTAGTGGTGATAATTTACGTCCAAGCAGTTTCCACGGAGATGTGAATTTTAGCCAAAAATAGGTCACTGTACGGCGGTCAATGAAAACCTAAATGCGCAGTAACACGAGACACTAATGAAAGAAGCAAACCCTTAAAAAGGCTGTTGGTGCCAAGCAAACTTTACAAACTTTACCCTAGCACACCATCCTCGTCGGTTTTGCCTTCATCGTAGGGCCTATCCCCTCGGCTTTAGTCAGACCATCGGCAGCTGGTCCCAAGTCATAGACGTAATTTAAAAATTTTATCCGCCAAGCCGTAAATCTTCTGCCGATGCCCTGTGCCTTTTCTGAGGGGAAGATAGATGTCGTATACTTAATCAATAAAGCTAAAGTGTCTTATAGGTAGTCAATCGGAACATCGGCTATTATTAATAATAATTCTAATCCGAAGTTTGAAAGAAAGAGCCGATAA